ATGCTATGATACCAAAGCACAAGCACCGCCCCTGCAAATAGATGAATTAGACTTCTTCAGCATTAAAACTTTTGTCCATCAAAGGATAGTATCAAGAAAGTAAAAACACGAATGGAGACTGGGAGAAAAATACTTGCAAACCATGTATCTGATAAAGGTCTAGTATTCAGAAACCAATTCAACAATAAAAAAGACAAATAACTGGGTTATAAATGGCAAAGGATTTAAATAGACATTTATGTAAAGAAGATTTACAAATAGTCAATAAGCACATGAAAAGATGTTCAACATCATTACTCATCAGCAAAATGCCAGTCAAAACCACAATGAAATACCATTTCACACCCACTAGGATGGCTAGAAAACAAACCCCCGAAACAGAAAATAAGTGTTGGCAAGGTTATGGGGAAATGGAAGCCTCATATATTGCTGGTGGGAATATAAAAGGGTGCAGCTGTTGTGGAAAACCGTTTTGAAGTTCTTCAAAAAGCTAAACATAGTTACCATGTGACCCAACAATTCCACTCCTAGGTATACAACCAAGAAAAATGAAATCATACATCAACACAAAAACCTATAAAACAACGTTTGTAGTGGCATTATTCACAGTAGTAGAAACAACTCAAATGTCTATCAAATGATTAATAGGTAAGCAAAATATATGTATGCATAATGAAATACTATTCATTAGTCATAAAAAGGAATGAAGTACTGATACATGCTATAACTAGGATGCACCTTGAAAACATTTTGCCAAGTGAAAGAAGCCAGACACAAAAGGCCACATACTGTATGATTCTATTTATATGAAATACCCAGCAAATCCACAGAGACAGAAAGTGGATTAGTGGTTGCCTAGGGATGGGGGTTTCAAGAGAATGGGAAGTGATTTCTAATGGGTATGAAGTTTCTTTTGGGGGCAATAAAATGTGGAACTAGTGGTAATGATTGCAAAATCCTGTGAATATACTAAAAACCACTGAATTGCGCATATATATATATATATATATATATATATATTTTTTTTTTTTTTTTTTTTTTTTTTTTTTTTGAGATGGAGTTTCGCTCTTGTTGCCCAGGCTGGAGTGCAATGGCTCGATCTCAGCTCACTGCAACCTCTGCCTCCTGGGTTCAAGTGATTCTCCTGCCTCAGCCACCTGAGTAGCTGGGATTACAGGCACATGCCATCATGCCCAGCTAATTTTGTATTTTTAGTAGAGGTGGGGTTTCTCCATGTTGGTCAGGTTGGTCTCAAACTCCCGACCTCAGGTGATCTGCCCGCCTTGGCCTCCCAAAGTGCTGGGATTACAGGCATGAGCCACTGTGCCAGGCTGAGCTGTATATTTTAGAATAATGACTTTTATAGTATATGAATTCTATCCCAATTAAAAAGAAAAAAAAGACACAACAACTAAATGCCACGAGGAATCCTGGATTGGATCCTGTTCAGTAAAATGGCATTAAAAGAAAACAACAACAACATGGTTCTGAGAAAAACCCAGTGTAAAATCTATAACATTTACATAACTCAAAAATAAATGCCAACACACAACAAAAATGTATTTTAAAAGACGTACAAATAAAACGCAGTACATAAAACATACTAGAATGTTTGCCAATGGGAGCAGTGAGAGAAATGAGAATGGAAAATGGAGACAAATGGGAATAAACAGATAAATAAATTGAAAACAAAATAAAAGTATTGCAACACTACCAGAATCATTCCAATAGGAGTGCTTGGTAGCCTTTGGTAAGTCATGTTCACTCTTAAAATTAACAAGACCTGACAAAAAATTAGAAATTAATTTTGAAAAATTATATATATATATTTTTACAGTAAGCAGGAACTATCAGACATAGTAAATTTATGTTCCATATTTTAAAACAAGATACCATGGCGGAGGAAGAGGCGGTAGTGTTGTGGGGAATGCCATATGATAGAGAACAGTCTCAAGTCCTGGCTACAGTTTGGAAGTCTTTTATGAAATATGACACTTGCCTTACAATTTCCTTGGCAACATAGGCACAAATATTAAACAGCATCTAGCAAAGGGGGATAAAAAGGATAGAGGGACCAAGAGTTGTTCTTTTTCTAGGTAACTGTCTTTTACCTGTTAACGGGGAATGGCTGACGGAGAGAAGGGAAGAAGTACCAGATGGGAAGCTCTGCTGCCCTGAGGTATTGATCTGAATGTGTGGTTTCTGAAAATAGCTTTAGAGTTATAAATATTCATTTGACTCTTTAGTGCAGTTGATAGATTTTATACTGAATTTTATGAGAAACCTGGAAGGCTTACAAACTCCATGAATGAAATCTTTATAGACAGAAGGAAGATTTTCTGGTTTTTCCTAAGAAAAATAAGAGATTCTGAATGTTTTCATAGTTTAAAAAAACCTAGAGTATAATAAAATAATGTGTGATCACTGCAATGTGATTTAACATATAAAATGTGACTGTATTTTGAGAGGCTGTGGCTGCATATGAAATATACTTTAAGTATATATCTGCTAGGGAGCTTCCCTCCACCCTTCTCTCTTTTCTCTGAACACGAACTGACGTTATACAGGAAATCTCAAGTGTCAGTCCACAAGTGTTTGGGCCAGAATGTGAAAGGGAACTTTCATTCTAAGAAAAATTATGAACAATCTTGGATAATCTCTCAGAGAAAACACCATCAACAGTAAACAGTAATTTTTGGGGAAAAGTTACTGGAGAAAGAAGTAGTTTTTTTTCTAACAATCTATCCCAAGGCTACCCAAAGTGTGGTTCACAGACGAGATACATAGATATTGAGAGTAAGCATTTAGAACATTTTTTAACCACAGGCGATTCATCTAACTGCTCTGTGACTCAGTCTCCTCATCTACGAGAATTGGAAAACCATAGTGCCTGCCTAGGATTATTGTATTAGTTAATATACATAAAGCATTTAGGACAGTGTCTGTCACATAGTACACCCTTATTAAATACTACTATTATTTCCTTGGGAAGTGAGATTTAAACAGAGACCTGAATGAGGGAGCCAGTCATGTAGGTAAAATAATGATATTAGATGAGCACCCTAGGGTATTTATGTAGTTTCTGTATATTTTCACCTTTAACCCCTGCTGATGATCCTGAAATAGATATTACTACTCCAATTCTACAGTTAAAAAAGTGAAGATTAGAAATATTAAGTAGCTTTTTTGTCATATAACTAGCTAATAGATATCTGTGACCTTTGTCAAAAGCCTTACTTATTGGGTTTAAATCGCCTCTGCTCAGGTAATGGGATAGAAGGCCTCAGAACTAAAATCTCCTAACTTTTACTTTGTTCACTCATTCGTTTACTCATCTTTCATTCAAAACGTATTTGCTGGCAAGGCACAGTGGCTCACCCCTGTAATACGAGCACTGTGGGAGGCTGAGGCAGGAAGATCGCTTGAGCCCAGGAGTTCGAGACCAGACTAGGCAACACAGTGCGACCCCATCTCAAAAAAAAAAAAAAAGAAATTAAAAATGATGTAGTCCTAGCTACTCAGGATACTGAGGTAAGAGGATCACTTGAGCCCAGGAGACTGAAACTGCAGTGAGCCACGACTGTGCTACTGCACTCTAGCCTGGGCAACAGAGTGAGACCCTGTCTCAAAAAAAAAAAAAAAAAAAAAAAAAATGCTGAGCATCTAGTATCATAGTCAACCAATATGTTTTTTGTTTACAAAGAGCAGACCATTTAAACAGGGATATAGTTATATAAGAATGATGTCCAATGACGTGCAGAGACAGGAGGTGCCATGGGAGTTGGGGTCAGGCGGAGGCCATGTACACAGAGGCCAGTGAGGCCCAGCTCAGAGAGGGTGTGGAGAGAATACTGAGAAGTACATTTAAAAGACAGGCTGAGAGCAAAATCACAGAACACTTTCTGGGCAGAGAGTGGGGAAGCAGTGGAGCTTCTACAAGGGATTATTTTTAAAAAGAATCAGCAGAGTCTGAGAAGAGGGTAGGAATGGAATGGAGAAGGGAAAGAACAAAGGCAGGGATGTCACAGCATCTTGGAATCCTGCCCAGAATTCGACAGGACCTAAGGGAGCAGTAAAGTCAATTCAGGTCCACGCAGAAATACCCCCTACAGCATCTTGAACAGATTTATGTAATACCTTAGAAATAAATGGATGAGAGTGGTGTGGTAGGAACAGAAACAAAAGGTAGAACCGGGAAGTATAAAAGACTTGGAAACCAACTAGATCAGAGGGTCATGGGGGAAAATGGAACATGAATACACATTATAGTATGAAGAATTTTAACATCAAAGACTGACCCTTCATAATTCTGTTTTTGGCTTCTTGTTTTGCAAAATCAGGAAAAATGAGAGCATTACATAGTGGTTATGTTGTAATTCACAAAGAATATGAACTGGTTAAAGATGGTTCCTAATTAGAAATTCTTAATGATCAAAAGGCAGCTTTACAGCAAGGCAAGACATTAAACATGTTTGTAAGACTCCAGGGCTGCCAGTATGTGTTTTATGCCCCACTTACTAGCCATTCCCACACACTCTTTTACCCTGTTTACAAAGCGGCTGCCCAGAACAAAGCCTTGTCCCCAAGGAAAGGCACACGGTGGCATCGGCCTGACATAAAAGACTTGACATCAACAGTGACTTTCTTTGAACTGTTTAAAGGATTTTCTCTCACTCAAGCCAAGACTTAAGACATTATTTTAAGAAAATAAGATCTGAAAAGTATGACCAGTCTCTTTCACTTCCGGGTGCTTGCTTCTCTAGCACATAAATAAATGGTACACACTCACTAGCTGGATTATTTTTCTTGAGCTGCTGATAATTTTATAATAAGCTGTCTTTTAAGTTCATTAAATGGAAAAGGCGAAGAATGAGACTCCAGCGTGCATACACAGTTCTATCCCTGCAGTGATTCTGGCAGTGCTGGAGGAGGCCACTGCCTCCCACAGGTTTTGCGCCTCTCAGATCAGCTTGGGGCAGGTGGGTCTACTGGCTCCTTACCTTCTTCAGCAATGACCGTTAGTGTGACGGTGACACCAGCATCTTTGATCAGCTGAACAATGTTATCATGAGACAGTTCAACAATGGACTGCCCATTCACTGCAGAGATATGATCTCCAACTTTCAGTTTTCCACAGCGGTCAGCTGGACTTCCTTCTATGACTCGACCAATTTTATGAGGAATAACTATGGGAAAAAAAACCCAAAAAACAAAAAACCAGGTTTTTCAATTATTTAAGATTTCTGCTAGTGTTAGATTTATAATCATCATCATTTAAAAATTCAACATAACATCAAAGAAAAATATTTAAAAACATAACAGAAAAGTACCACACGTCATCATCCCATCCAAACGCAAGTATTTTCGTACTTCTCACTTTTGCCCACATACATACTCTTTACACAGTTGTAATCATAGTATATAAACCTCTTTGCTATCTTCTACCTACCAGAAACCTTGTTCTAATTTTTACATTATCATCCTAACTGTTCTGTTTAAGAGTTATTAATCTCGCTGATACCACCTGACTGATCAGATGTCTCATTGTTTATCGTTGATCATTTAAGCTGCATCAAGTTTTTAGCTATTTTAAAAACTGCTACGATAAGATAATCTTTGCTTCTGTTAAAGGGGCACTTGCTCCCATAAGGAATCTTGTAAATAAATGCAGGTCAAACTCAGGTTTAGCACTCAGTAGTTATTGGTCAGAAATTCAGGTACAGTGAAATGACTGACAATTAAAATGAATCATACTTAATTCCACAGGTAAATTAATTCCTCTTATTTATGCCTTTGGTTCTTTTTAAAATTTGAAAAGCTAAGTGGAATTAGAACATTAAATGTTAAGTGTTAAGACTACTTGACTCATGGATCAAATTCTAAACCAAATACACAAAGCTGAGTCTCATACAATTGCAAAGATGCTCTGTGCAGCTCTACTGTATCTCTAGCTTATAATGCTAAGGGCCTTCCTGGACTAACTATTAAGACATTCTGCTATAATTGTAGCTTGAAATGAGTTCTCATATATTCAGGAAATCTTGTCAAACAAAATATTTTCCACCATGCAACAGGCAGCATTAGTATTAGGAAACAAATGTTCCTTCTGTGTTCTCTGAGAATTTCCTAGCCTAGGTCAGTCAACTTTAAACTTATCAGATATGTGGGCTCCTGCTGACTACTGACTGATTTGAATAGGGATACTTCATATTTTTGAATGGCACTGTGAATGATGTTTAATTTCCATAGTAAAACCCGCTCCTTACTAGTATGTCTGAATCATATCTAGGAGTATGTAAGGGACATTTTAATAGACCTTCGTTTGGACTAGAAAAGTTATTCTTGATGATAATTTATTTCCCTACAGACAGTGCCCTGGCTCTTCTAGGAATACACCGTGGGAGATTTTATCTTAAAATAGAGTAAGTCAGTGTTGGAAGGAAGTGCCTTTTAGCTCTGAATTATGTCAAGCACTTATTATTCTATTTTCCTTACAAACAATGTAATTAGAGAAATGCCAGTGCAGAAAGGGCCATGTCGTATGCCAGGCATTATGAGTTGATTCACTAATTCTACAACAGGTGGCACACCAGAAACATATGGCAGGTCATATGGTGGCCCTGTGGTGACCTTCTAAATCAATATCTCAGTTATTCTCCTTTTTACAAAAGATTTACTTAAACATAGTGTTCTTTCTAGATCCCCTGAGAAGAAAATCATTCAGTTCCTTGGCTCACTAAAAGGAGTTTGTTCAGACTTGGGAAAGCATTAAATAGAATTAATCTCTGAAATCTTAGTGGTCCCCTTTCTCAGCCTGTGAGCAATGTGGTAAAAAGAATTGGTGCATGGTGGTATACAACTTCCTAAAGGGCTGGTTATCTGGATCAGGGAAGGTAAAAGTAGTCAGATTGTTACTGTCTTAGTATTTATAGCAGTATCACTAGAACAGTTAAAAATAGCAAACAGACCAGTAGAAAGGTAACTTCTGAACATTTTCTAAACGGACAGGGAAACTGTTCAAGGTAACCCCTTAGAGTTCACATAGCTAGGGAAAAGCCATCAGTCCTGCCTGATTTTTGTTGATACACAAAGTCTACAGGCATTTGCCATAAAGCCAACTTATCCATCTTCATTCATCTTTGGCCTAAATCTGTCTCATAGCCTGGCTTGTCCAGATCCTGAGATCACTTTAGTGCTCTTAAAACATTTCTTTTCAGGAAAACAAAGAACAGTAACTGGAAATGTTCCCTTTTCAAATAAATCCTTTGCAACCGGAACTGAAAACTATATGATAAGAAGGAATAACACTAAAAGCTCTGAAGTACTGGTAAAGCAAAAACTAGCCACGTCTTTTTAATCTTAAATAGAGGCCTTTTCTAAATACTCCATTCATTCAGCACTTAGACAAATTCTGAGGATGCTGGACCTGGATCCCTGATCTTTGAAAAAGTCAACAGTAGAGAAACTCAGAATTCCATAACTGGTACCACAGATGCTACTAGGAACTCTTCTTGAGACATATGTCATCAGAAAATACCTGAGACAAGGTCCATAAAGAATGATCTGGCCAGGCACAGTGGCTCACGCCTATAATCCCAGCACTCTGGGAGGCCAAGGTGGGTGGATCACCTGAGGTCGGGAGTTCGAAACCAGCCTGGCCAACATGGCAAAACCCTGTCTCTACTAAAAATACAAAAAACATTAGCCAGGTGTATTGGCACATGCCTGTAATCCCAGCTAATCGAGAGGCTAACGCACGAGAATCACTTGAACCTGAGAGGCAGAGGTTGCAGTGAACCGAGATCGCGCCACTCCACTCCAGCCTGGGAAACAGAGAAAGACTGTCTCAAAGAAAAAAGAAAAAAAAAAAAGATCTATTCTGACAGACAGGTTTCCTGCCTTTCCACCTGTGCTAACTCCTTTCTGAACCAAACCTTCTCTATCATACAGTTTGCAGCAAGTATTCAGTCTCTGTGAGTGAAAGCTCCTCATTTGAGCTTTCCCCTGAGAATGTCAGAAAATAAAATTCTAACAAGAATACTCTCAGGCCTCAACATTTTATGAGATTATTAACTAGCATTTCAGTGAAATTATCAATTCTGGTTTTACACTAGGACTGAAAATCTCAAGTACTTTACATAAAATTCATCAACAACCTGAGCCTAATTTACCATTCAGCCTGATAATTAATGAGCTGCAATTACTCATTTCCTGCCACATGTGAGCTGCTGCCTCAATCTTACATTTTAATTGGGCTTTCTTTCCTATCTCATTATTAAGTATTGACGAACTTTTAAAAGTTTTTTAAAAGAAAAATTAAGAGATGGTTACAATTTTCTAAATAATAATGATGATGATAGCAACGGCAGCAGAAGCTACAACAAGCGACAGCAGCTAACATTTACTGAAGGCCTTGGCTAAGGGCTTCCCATACGCTGTCTCCTTTAATCCTCACATTCGTGAGACAGGGAGTGTCTCTATCATCCTCATTTTACGGAAGAAACTGGAGCTCTTGGAGGGAAAATAAGTTGCCCAAGATCAGACAGCTATTAAAAGATATAAGCAGGACCTGAATCCAAGTTTGTTGGATTACAAAACCCAACCCTTAATGACACTATCTTATACAGAGATGAAGTAGCTCCATAGGTAAAACTATCAAAATAGTAAAAAATGATTGAAACAAGGAAATATAAAATTACTTAAAGATTTTTAAATTTTTAAAAATTTACCAATAAAATATATACAAATAAAAATACTTAATTAAATTTTAATACTTAATTACATGTAATACTTAATTTTAAATATAAACAAATGTAAAAATATGCTCAAACATATTTAAGCAATGAAACTTATTTTACTGAATTTCTCTATATAGGTTAGTTTTATGGTGAACATCAGACTCTCCCCAAATTTCTGTAGTGCTAGAAAGGGAATATCTTCAATACAGAAAGTGGTTAGCATCTATCTACTAGAGTAATACTCTTTCACTGTTTTTGTTAATCTGAATGCCTGGGGTTATCATATGTTACGAGAATGACAATATCATTATCCTAAATGGTTATCTGTTTTTAGAAACACTGATTCCAATGACATAACATGAAAACCACCTAAAAGCTGCTTTCCTTTCATTTTTCTGACACAGGCCATATTATCATCCTCACAGCATCAGTGACAGTTCCAGTTCCAAGTGTTTCCATGGCAACTGCTTTGGGAAAATGGAAACTAGTATCAGTGAGCAGTGACCTAATACTATAGCAATAACTCATCCATGTCATGGACTCTTTTTCCCTTATACACTTCCATTAATTTTAGCAAGATTTTTGCAAATTGCTTTGGCTCACAACACTTTCCTAAAACTGTTTTCTTTTTTTTAAACTAAGGTTTTAGCAACCACTTGGTCTAAAAGGATCTCACTATTCAAAATATAATCAAACTGACTTGTAAAGGCAAGGGCACATTTTCATGTAGTCAGAGATTTTTTATTATTTGACTTGGGGCTGGGTTCTTATATTCAACTGGATTTTATAATTATATTAAAAATTATTATTTTATAGAAACATCAAGACAAATATTTCATTTGCTGAATCGTAACAGCCCTGAATATATCAGATGTAATTCCTCCTTTGATCATGGAACTGATATAAATACATTCATCTTCTGGATTAGAATATTCTGTTAAATTCGGTTCAAGATATTTAGATTCATTTTCTAATTGTTGACAAAATTTTTACCTTTCAATGAAACATTTATAAAAAGTATGCCTCTTATTCACAAGGGTAATTTATAGCTGGACTACAGCAATTATTATTAAATAATAACATTAAATAAAGACATATTTGGGTCAAGATTTTTCTATTAATCTGCTTTGCTTGTTCTCAATTGCTTCTAGTCTTTAATTCTTTTCTATATACATGATTAATCCTAATTTTCAAAACCTATGCCCCCATTTTTTTATTTTTTATTTTTATTATACTTTAAGTTCTAGGGTACATGTGCACAACATGTAGGTTTGTTACACACGTATACATGTGCCATGTTGGTGTGCTACAGCCATTAACTCGTTATTTACATTAGGTATATCTCCTAATGCTATCCCTCCCCCCTCCCCCCACCTCACGACAGGCCCTGGTGTGTCATGTTCCCCTTCCTGTGTCCAAGTGTTCTCATTGTTCAATTCGCATCTATGAGTGAGAACAAGAGCCCCCATTTTTTTAAAAGTCAGCATTATACCTTTCATTAAATCCATATCTATTACATATTATCTTCAGTATAACCTTGATGCAAATGGAGCTACTGAGACTTAGTAAATATTTTATAGAATGTGAGATAATAGATAAACCTGAGGCCTAGAAGGTTTGGTTCAGATTACCTAATTTTGAAAATAAGGAAAGTATTCACAATTCTTAAAAAGATAAGTACCTAAGGCATTTTATAAGTAGCTCCTAATTATTTCATAAACTCCAGTGGGAGCCTCAGAAAACTGGACTTGCAGGCAGAGACAATAAGATACAATATCCCTTACCTCCTGGAGGTGGTTTGTTTTTGGAGGTGAGGATGACAAAGCCAAATCCTTCATTTTCTTTTCGTTGCAAGACAACATCATAGGGCTCCTGGGGTGCAGGCCTGGCTGGGACCTCTGCCCGGTTCAGGCGGGGAGATCCATTCTGTGTTGAAATGAAGGCCTGAGAGCTGTCGTCCTCAGGTTGTTTTTCTATAATAAACATGATCAGTTTTGATATTTCTGGAACATCATAATTTCTGGTGACTAAAGTGTTTTTATGCTAAGCCCCTCACAGAAAAATTCAGTTTCTAATAACATAAAGAATAGAAAAGCAGCCCCACATGTGAGCTTCGGGTGTAATCTGAGTGCAGATTTAGGCAACAGCAGTCCATCCGACTTTCCAGATACTCAGAGTGGATTACTGAAAAATACATATAATCTCAAGTTGTCGTTTTTCTTCCCCCCCACCCGCCGAGATGCAGTCTTGCTCTGTCACCCAGGCTGGAGTGCAGTGGCGTGATCTCGGCTCACTGCAACCTCTGCCTCCGGGGTTCAAGCAATTCTCCTGCCTCAGCCTTCCGAGTAGGCGGGATTACAGGTGCCCACTATCATGTATGGCTAAGTTTTGTTATTTTTAGCAGAGATGGGGTGTCACCATATTGTCCAGGCTGGTCTTGAACTCCTGACCTTGTGATCTCATTTTAAAGGAAGCTTTTAAAAGCTTCTGTGAGATTTGATAGTAAAAAATTCTTCTTAAAACTGTTTTAGTTCCATCAAGGTTTATAACATGGACCAATAATTTTAACGAAACACATAATGAGGAATGACACAATGAACTTCCTTTTAAAATCAATTATAAATATAATTTAGTTCAGTGACTGATACTCATTGATGTCTGTCTTAGAGGTTAAAGCATCAGGGCAGAAATGTTGCCCCACTGTAACAGTTTGCTACCTGTACAGGATTTGTCTCATATGATGTGTTTTGCAATTGCAGTTTCCTGAGTGATGATATAAGATGAGTTCATCATTAGCAGTTCTCAGCCTTCCACCTCCCCAACCCCCACCCCCCAACTTGCTGGGACACATAACAAGCTGTCCACATGAACAGCAAACACTTCTAGGCATAGGCAGGGTCATATGAAATTCCTGATAAATGGCCAATTAACCTACACCTTTTTCTGCTCTTTTATCAGAACTTGAGAATGGCACAAAGTCCTAATTGATTTTTTAAAAAGGGCATTTTTTTTTTTGCCATAATTTGGTACAAACCATCGTTAATAATAACCACAACACACTGCAGTCATGTACATATTTATAAGGTCTCTTTTTGGCTAAAAATTCACATGGTTTTAATAATATGTTTTTTTCTTTTTTTTTTTTTTTCAAAATGCATGGTTAGAATGTATTAGCTAAAATGTCTCCAACAATACCACACTACTATGAAACTTCTTCATGATTCTTTCCAGGGAAGAGCCAATTTGTAGGTTGTATAACATCACAATTTTACTGTAAGTAGTTACATTTGGCCTCCAACACAACCAAATTGAGGCAGTACTGCGTTACAAAATCTGTATGCATCTCTAAAAGGCTGGTATTTACCAAAGGAGGCAGGCGTTTACTTTGAATGTTGCAATAACAAATACAGTGCCTCATTTTTGAGAGTGAGGTAAATATTCATCCAATTAACAATTTATTAATGTCCACTTTGTACCAGACAGGCACTCTTCTAGGTGCTGAGGATACAGGAGATAACTAAACAAATAAAAAATCATAGCTTCATGAGGCTTATATTCTTGTGCTACAGAGTTGTATTTTTCTAATTTTAAAGTGGCAAGAATTCATTTGTAAGACTTCCTAATTATTCATAAAGCTACTGATGAGAAACTATAAGAGATATTCATATCCTAATGTTATAGTTTAAACCCTGATCTCTGAATTAAACTGCAAGTTTTAATCCAGGCCCTATCTCTTACCAGTTATTTGTTTCTCAACATTTCTCTGAGTAGTCATAGAACTAGACAATGACCTCATAGTGTTGTGAAGATTAAATAAAATAATTCATGCGTCTATGACATAGTAAGCACTCAATAAATGTTAAATTATACTAAAACTTCCCAAGTAGAAACATCCCACTTTCCCTTAGTAGTTCAGATTTCATTGGGATCCAAAAATCTTTGTACATTCAGCTAGTGGGATATCTTGGTATGACTAAATAACTTTTCATTTGCTATTAAAAAAAAAAATTTAGGCCAGGCATGGTGGCTCACGCCTGTAATTCCAGCACTTTGGGAGGCTGAGACAGGCGGATCATTTGAGGTCAAGAGTTCGAGACCAGCCTAGCCAATGTGGTAAAACCCCATCTCTGCTAAAAATACAAAAATTAGCCATGTGGTGGTATGCTACTCAGGAGGCTGAGGCAGGAGAATTGCTTGAACCTGGGAGGTGGAGGCTGCAGTGAGCTGAGCTCATACCACTGCACTCTAGCCTGGGTGACAGAGTGAGACTCTGCCTCAACAAAACAAAACAAAACAAAACAAAACAAAACCGGATTTAGATCAATACTCCCACCTATAATACCACATTTGCGAAATGCATCAATATATGAAAATAATCTTAATATAGAAACCCAAAATGTATTTTTTATAGTAGTATTATTTCTGAATCCTTTTGTCTTTGCATGGCCTTCCACAGTGAGGCCTGGATCACATCAAATGAGTTATCTCAGATACTACTGAATGTAATAAAATAACAAAACTACACAAGAGGTAGATTAGTATCTTTGTTTCTTTTTTAACTTTCCAGAGCAGGAACAAGTTCACATACCTCCATAGAAGATCTTTCGTCTGACAGTTAGTAACACATGGCCATTTCGAGCAGCAGTCGTCATGAGGTCCAAGACTTGTTTGTGTGATTTCCCTTTAACAGGAATTCCATCAATGCACATTAGTTCATCAGCTGCACGGAGCCGACCATCTTTCTCAGCTGCTCCCAGGGGAATAATAGCCCCGATATATATCTGATAAGATAACAAAGTATAGTTTGGTCCACAGCGTAAAGTTTAGCTGAAGAGTTAAGGGATTCCTAACTTAGCATTGTGCAAACCAACAGATTTTTGCAGTTCAACTATGAAAACAGTCATATTCTAGAAAGGTATTATCTGGGAAAGTGCCCATTCTCCAAAACGGCACTTCAAATAACCACACTGTATTATGTAATCCCTTATAGATCCTCAGGGCTGTGTACAAAGGAAAGAGAAAATACGAAGTTGTTCAATAACTCAAAATGCACCACCATTATCCCCATCATTACAATGAAACAAAACACTAAACTCAGAAAATATAAATCTGCATAGTAGCTATTAAAAGTCTGTTCAATGTCATCAGGCAAGATTTTCTACATACTGTTCACAGCAACTGAGATCATTCTCAATGGTACTCCCATCACATAAGACTAACAGTACAAGTTCAATATACACAGCACAGAGACATTTCTTCTTTCTAAATCTCAATGGGAACAGAGTGGCCTGAAGCTCACTTGTATCTAAGTGAACAAATCTGGTTCACTTTGCTCACCAGCATTAGAATCCTATTAATTAGGCAATTCTGAATGTTTGGGCTAGTTTCAGAGCTGCTAAAATCTGACATTCAAGAGAAAAGAAAGGTTTCTTCTAAGTTGTTTGAGACAAATTCTTAAAATGTCTAAGTGAACATTATGAGTATCAACAAAATAGGAAGCAACAAAACAAAAATACAAATACCACCAAGAACAATTAAAGTATCTACTATTTGTTCTACATAGGGCAACCTGCCTTAAGCTTTATGTGTCTCCAATGACTGTTGTAACTGTAACCAATATGACCAATTAGAACAAATTTATACTACATAAATCAAATGTTCTATTCAGAAATAAGAAGCCTGTAATTTTTAAAGATTATTGTTCTTCACCTAACTTCCAACCATAATATAGTCTTTTTTGATATTATATAAAAGAAAATGCAAATATGTTCTTAAAAATTCTATAGAACACATTACTTCTTTGTTATTCAAACCAAGAGCAAAACTTAGAAACAAAACCCACTACATTTGTTCTCTAAAACAAATTTATGTGAGTATCATATGTAAACAAAATCCTAGACTTCAAATGCTTTGCAAATATAACCCTTATGCCTCTGGACAAAAATATTAATTATTTTATATTCCTCTAGTTTCAAAGTAACAGATGAAATGACATGCAAAGTACTGAGCATGAAAATGCCAACCTACTAATAAAATGAGGTGAAACAATATACACAGGCTCATGCCAACCATTTATGGAACATTCAGCAGAAGTAATAGTGGGAAGGAGGACATGGGATTATAGGTTTCTTAGAGAAGGAAAATGTCTTAGACTCTGTTTAATGAGGGCAAAGGAAAATACAAACTTAAAATAAGCTTTATGTAGTTATTCACACAGAGAAGTAAATAAATTAATCACTGTCTAATTTGCAGCTGACATATTCAGTTTTTACTCACAGTTTTTAGCCTCAGCTACACCCCAATAACTGAGGGACTATGATACTAATAGAAATGCAGTTCTTCCTCATACTAATGAAACTGTTAGAGGGAAAAAAAAACTTAAACCACAAAACAAAACACACCATAATCCACCAAATCACCACTCAAAACGTTTGAACAGGAAACAGCCATGTTCCAAAGAAGTGACACTTACAGACTGGTCAGGTCCATCTCCTCCTAGCACCCTGAAGCCAAACCCTGACTCTTGTTTTCGAAGAAAAACATCCAAATCTTTGGTATTTGGTGCTAAGGAAAATCAGAAAATATAAATATTTTGATTTATTTTAAAAGGACTAAAACAAAACAAAGTTCAATATTTAGTAGGACATTATAGAGTAAGACAATAAACTATAATCTCAGAACTTTTTAATATGTGAAAATTTGCACAGGAGTGTAACACACACACACAATTCAACTATAAATCCTTGTTTTGAGCTCTAAGCAAAACTGTATCAAGACTGTTTAGAAGCATTTACTCTCACTTCCATATACTCAGTATTACACTGTCATTAACTTCTAATGCTGTCCAATCAATATAACAATGTTGAATTCAGAATGATCAAACTTGAGTTTGATATTTGACAGGTGCAAATGACCTAACTTAACACTTGGGTAAGGTACATTAAATCCTAGGAAAAGAGTGCCTATAAAATACCTTATTCCTGCTCTCAAGCTGATACCTTTCTCTCAGAAAAGTATTCCATATGAACTACTTACCTAGCCTGGTTTTGCAAAATGATAGCATTTTAAATGAAAATAATTAAGAACTAACATTTATTATTAGCCCCGTTTTCTAGGTGGGAAAACAGGGTCTAAGTAAGTTGGCCATTGTCACACAGCAAGTGGTGAAGCTAAGATTTAAATCCAGGTTGATTTCCAGGGTCTAATCTCCTAACCCATACTATCCTACTCTGAAAGGGTAGGTTGTATTCCTTAGAATATTAAGCAGGAGGATTGCTTGAACCTGGGAGGCGGAGGTTGCAGTGAACCGAGATAGTGCCACTGCATTCCAGCTTGGGCAACAGAGCGGGACTCCATCTCAAAAAAAAAAAAAAAGAATATTAAGTCACAAAAATCTATTTCATGACTAAAATTTTTTCATTGGGAAAATATTAATGTTATTTATAGGTAAGAAGTATTTACTATAAAGAGAAAAGAAATAAACATGTCAGGGAACTATATAAAAAGTGAGATTAGTCAATTCCTGATAATATTCTATAGAAGCAATATCTTTTGATATATACTTCCTATTAAAATTGTAGAACTTTAGAGATTAAAAGAGTCCACTTTGGGAAGCCGAGGCGGGTGGATCACGAGGTCAAGAGTTTGAGAACAGCTTGACCAACATGGTGAAACCCCGTCTCTACTAAAAATGCAAAAATTAGCCAGGCGGGGTGGCGTACACCTGTAGTCCCAGCTACTCGGGAGGCTGAGGTAGGAGAATTGCTTGAATCTAGGAGGCAGAGGTTGCAGTGAGCCAACTCCAGTTGCCACTCCAGCTCCGGGTGACAGAGCAAGACTCTGTCTCGGGAAAAAAAAAAGAGTCATGAGTTCAACTCACTTATTTTATGGGTGAAGCCTGATGGGACTGCAGAGTTTATATCAGTATTAACAATGTATCAGGCTATGAATGGAAAGTATGAAGAAAGGGATTCTACATAGTTATGCTAACTGAAATGATTGCTTTGCTATGCATACAACTGGTTTTCATCTTTCTGAATATGGATTGGTATTATCAAGATGTAGTTCTGCAATTAATTAAATAAGCATTAAGTCAATACACATATATTCCACTTGTACATATCTTTTCCATATAGATTTACGCCTATTTCTAAGAACAAACAAATTTTAAAAAATTATACCTACTTAAATCTGCAATTTTACTTTGGAAAAGATGTATCATTAGTAAGTGAATTAGTAGGAACATGCATGAATTTCTGCCTTATGTGGTCTCTCTTTTTATCTCTCAGCTGTACTCCTTTAAGGAGTCAATTCTTTAGTTTCCTCTTCAAATTGCACACTCTTCCTCAAATTGCATTCACCTCTGATTCATCCTTCATACTCCTGCCAGAGAAACCTTTCTAAAATACAAAACTATGTCTTCCTTCCAGTTAAAGGCATTCTGTGGTTCTCTGTTATTTGTATGACCAACTCCAGCTCCCCTTGAGGGGCATAACTGGCCTTTCTCAATCTGTTCCTACTCTCCTCTGTGACTTTCCTTGCCAACTGCACCCACGAAAGTGAATTACTTGCAGAACCCAAGTCATGCAAGACCAGTGTGCACGTGCTATTCCTTCTGTCTTTCCCTTTTATCTTCCTGATAGACACTTTTTCATCCCTGATGACTTAGCTTTGCTTCTAGTATGAAGCTTTTCCTGACACTTCCTACTGCCCACGCTGATAAAACTGAGTATTCCTTCTTTGGATCCCAATTTATCCATTTCATCTTTCTATCACTGTACCTGTTAGGCTTATTACGTGTACTTATTTGTATACTATTTGATTACATATTTGCCTTTTTCCATTTAGTTCTAATAATATTTTTGGGTGCAGGTCCTATGTAACCTATTTATCTCTGTATTCTAGTTACCTAGTATGGCATCTGGTAGATAACTAGCACTTAAAACATGATTTTGAAAAAAATGAATGTGTGAATGTTGACTATACATGGAAGAAGTCCAGAGTTCTATTAAAATGGTAATGAAGGAATAACTTTTCAATATGCTTCTGAAAGATGGGAAGGCCCTAATCTAAAATAAATCCAAATTTATCTTGTTACATGCTTTCCTGAAGTATTCCACAACTACTTACGTTTATCTTCATATAAAGTCTTAGATTTCAGGTAGACCTCAGAAGGATCCAATTTTGGGGATCCTGACCTGATAATGCTGGGTGGAAAAGGCATAGGCTGAGGAATAGGCTCATTTATGGCCTCCAAACTTCCTGAATTTTCCTTTTTATCTGTTTTCTGAAATGGAAAAGGGCCTTACTTAGTATCTTTTAAAAATCAGATGGTTGATTAATTCATAAAACTGATATCTGAAATGGATATGTCAACTGATTATAGTTGTAAAGGTGGCAGGATCAAAGACACAGCAAATTTACAGTTACAGGAATTCATTTTCATAGCAAGGTGTATTTGAAACATATTTAACTTAAATTAGAAAAAAGTTTACAGTAATATCAACTGAAGAGCCTTAGTTAGTCCTATGTTTAAACAATTTTGCCCTTTTCTCCACCACCAAGACACAAATTGACTTTGAGATGAAGATAAATAAAAATACAACACAATACGGCACTTCTAAGTAAAGTAGGAGGAAGATTCAGAGAATATCTTCATAAAATTCTTGGCCCGGCCCACTTCCCATTCACTGAGTTTAATTTCTAAGGAAGATGTTTAAGATAATACTCTTTCTAAGAAAACAGGAAAGGTTAACTCTAATTTAGGTTATAAAGATGGCACTGTGGAAACCCTGCCTGGCCAATTCATACATATTAAGAGAAAATGTACCATGCAAGACAATTAGATAAGGGAAAACACAGTAGCATATTTTGATATTTTTCCTATTCAGATAGCACTTTTCCAAGATAATAGTCAAGCAAAATGACTTATTTAATAAAATGTTAACAATGAAATCCAATAAATAGCCCAAGGAATATGGTTTTGAGACCAGTTTGTTTTCCTGGATTATTGTTAGGAGAGGGAGATTATGGATGTTTGTGATCATTAACAATGACTAGAATGCAGGGGCACCGGCTTGTCAGGGAGTAATCAGGGGTCAGCCACTACAAAGTGTTGGCCTAGAGGGGACCCTTCAATCTCCCAGACCCAGTGAAAAGGGAGAGAAGCTAAAGGTGGTCTCCCACCATTTCCCCACACATCTTAGCATTCTGTCAGAAGCGGTTAAAGTTCATCAGACCCTTCCATCAATTATAAAGCATTAGGGCCACTGCAGCTGTAGTGGCATCCATTATGAAATAGATATGGTAGCACAGGAATTAAAAATGATTACTAGAGGAACCAGAGGAATGTAGAATATGTGCAATTTGAACTGAATGGACAAAAACAATTTCTGTTCACACTAGACCCAAGTAGTATAAGCAGTCAATGAAAAGGGCAGAAGTTGGCCAGGCATGGTGGCTCACGCTTGTAATCCTAGAATTTTGGGAGGCCGAGGTGGGCAGATCATCTGAGATCAGGAATTTGAGACCAGCCTTGCCAATGTAGTGAAACTCCATCTCTACTAAAAATATAAAAATTAGCCATGTGTGGTGACGTGCACCTGTAATTCCAGCTACTGGGAGGCTAAGGCACAAGAATTGCTTGAACCTAGGTGGCAGAGGTTGCAGTGGGCCAAGATCACACCACTGCACTCCAGCCTAAGTGATGGAGTGAGACTCTGTCTCCAAAAAAAAAAAAAAAAAAAAAAAAAAAGGCCCCAGAAGCTGAGTGATTCTTTTTAATCCATAAAACAGCAAATTTGCAGAGGATTCCTACTTGGTGGGCTAGAAATAACTAATTCATTTAATATAACCATCTATAGTTTATGGTTATGGAAGGCCATCTTTCGATTTTGAGATAAAAGACTCCAAATGAGCAAACTAGAACTAAATTAGAATTTTAAATAAACTTGTCTTTATATCCAAAACATTGCGGATATTTAAATAGCTGCAAATGTGCACCTCGTAGAGTTTCTTCCACAAAGCAGTATTTGATGCACCCCTTTTAAAGTTCTTACTTTCTGCACAGGTCCTTAAATAGGCTACGTGGTTATTCAGAAGAATGCCAAAGAAGTCACTGTTTCAAGTCTTTCACTTTGACAACAAGCACATTTAGCACAGAAGGCCACAATTACTCTAGAAGTCTTGTTCAGTTAGCAGGATGTGGTGGTTCACGCCTGTAATCCCAGCACTTTGGGAGGCTGAGGCAGGCAGATCATGAGGTCAAGAGATCGAGATCATCCTGGCCAACATGGTGAAACCCTGTCTCTACTAAAAATGCAAAAAATTAGCTGGGCGTGGTGGTGTGCACCTGTAGTCCCAGCTACTTGGGAGGCTGACGCAGAAGAATTGCTTGAACCCGGGAGACAGAGGTTGCAGTGAGCCGAGATGGCGCCACTGCACTCCAGCCTGGGTGACAGAGCAAGACACTGTCTCAAAATAAATAAATAAATAAATAATAATAAAAAGAAGCCTAATTTAGTCTTAAAAGTAAGAAGATTATCTAAAGGTGCATGCACATTTATAGTCCCCACAAAATTATGTGAACTACTACGTCTTCTCTTCAGGCAGGGGCAAGACGATGTAATAATTTATCATCTGTCTTAATGTTTAGGTCCTTCCTACTTTGTTTCTCTGAATCACAAAAGTAAAAAAACCTCTAGGTTGGTTCTTTGATGTGTTCACATTTCATAACTTAGAGAACAGGATTGTTGGTACAATAGGCCTTCAGCAGTCCTCCAGTTGCAATACTTACCCAGTGGAGCACATCTCCTCACTAGGGGGCTTTTTCAAATGCTTCCCTAGTTTCTGATAAATACAAGCCAAGGGCAGCATGCCTCCTAACTTCTCCCGGTCGATAATCATCACCACAGTGAGCCCTCTTACAGAGGGGAATGTGGCATCTTTCTCAGTGTGTTGGGGAAAGGATTTGAGGACCAGTGGATACTCACCATTTTGGTAGTTTTGGTTGGTGAAGGAGGACCTTAAAAAAAAATGAGCCAAAGTTTAAAACCAGAGGATGCACTCCCAGATCACAAATACTGCTGATGTTTATGATAAAACTAGCTTCAACTTTTAGTAGGCTAGTAAATTCTGTGTCTAACCTCCTATGTAGCAGGTATTATACATATATTATCTCATTTCATTTTTATAACAATCTGAAGGCACAAATGTTATGACCATCTTATAGAGAAGGTAAACTAAGATTCTTTCCTATACCAAAGAACCAGTAAGTGGCAAGGCAGGAGACTGACATCAAACCTGTATGACATGGAACTTTGGTGTCTTTGTTACACTTGTTGAAGCCCTGGCTTACTCTCAAGCACTCACATAGAGATTTCTACCTTACTCGGAGCACATTCCACCATCACTCAGAGAAGACACCCATATGAATCAAAGAAATGAGAATAAGAAAAAACTCCCAAAGAAGCTGAAGTGCTCATTTGCCTCAATAGTGAAAAGTAAAATCCAGAGAGATAAAAGAGTAAGTGGTTAAGTTTTATTCTTTAAGATACTAGTCACTTATAAGTATGGATTTAAGAAAGCCTATTAAAATTAAACTTTGTGATTATTCCTTGGAACTGGATTTGTAAATGTCTGGGAGCAGTTCATGTCAGCTGATGACCTTGAAAAATAAAAATTCTATTTCTCTCACATAAGCACTGTGCGGTTTAATTAACATCTACAGACAGATACTAGAGCCTAAGATAAAAGCTTTATGAGCACAAGCTATCATGATTGCCTCTGCAGAACAAATTAGCACACCATCCAACATTTTACTTATCCACAGAGATGCTAGCTCTTTCAAAACATCTTTGGTGCATTACAGAGGTCCAGATGACGTACCATTGGTTGAAAGAGTCAATTTCTATTACTGTCATCAACAGAGAAATGAAATTAAGAGGATGTATTTCATTTGAAGTATCACAATGCTGTGACTCTCTCTAATCATTAAAGCCAAGAATCAGATTTTCAAAAGAATACAGAGGGAAATAAATCCATAATGGACATGAACGAAACCACTAATAACTTTTTAAAAACTGCTGAAAAAGATACTGCTTATGGAAACAATCAGACAGAACCTTAAGGAAAATGTGCACTAATTACTAGTTAAGTCTGCTGGGAAAACATATTCTAAACTGTAAGGAAGGACAATCAATGGATATAAATGCTTGAACACTGAAACTTTTTCTATGTGGTGCTTTTACTTACCTCCTCTTAAGATAAGCAATGGTACATCGGCACCTACTGGAAACTGCTTTAGCACCTCTACCACTTGGAGATGTGTTAAATTCTGCACATTTTGATGGTAAATTTCCTTAATTATATCTCCTTTCTGAAGGCCTTGACACCACTGACTATCCAGTATCATTTTCACCTTCTGTCCAGTAGGGCTGTCGGCAATTGCAAACCCAAACCCTTTAGGGCCCTTAATCAAAGGGATAGTCACTAGTTCAGGCTGGGAGCTGCCTGACGATGCCATGGATACTCTCTGCTCACTTGTATCTGATGGTCCATTGAGACCATCACCAGTCAAAGTGTGTCCCGATTTTCCATTCTGCTCCAGAACCATTGTTCCTGGCTTAAAATCCTGAGGATTCATGCAAGTCTCTCCCTTGGTTAATGACTGTCCATTGATGACAGGGGTAGCAGCAACAATATCCACGACAGGATCTTCACTGTCATCAGGAAGTGGATAACCACGACATAAAGTGAGGTTTACATACTGATTGACAGGTACCAATTGAAACATCTGGACAACATCTGCATGAGTATGACCGAGGACACAGTTGCCATTGATGTCTACAATAACATCACCTGGTAAAACATAATCATATTAAAAATATTAAAATCAACAAATAAGTTAAATTTTTGCTAGAGGGGCAAAAATAACTACAATTTAGTAACAAAATTTGAATTTTGGAAACCTCTATTAATTGCTGAAAAGACAGATTTCTAACACAGACATTCTCCCTTTTCTAACTCCTCTCTAAAAAGTATGTATGTCTAAAATCCTACTTATTTCAGTAGCAAAGAATTTTCACTTCAAGCTCAAGTGAATCATTAAAAAAACCCTGATAATTTATATTATCATTATTAGTATACCCTCTGAGTCGTATCTAAGTAGCCACGCAAAGCTATGCACATTGTAGCAGGTATTTAGTACAGGAGCAAATAACTCCACTGACTACTTGTACAAACTGTATTATATTTTTTGAATACATTAATTTTTTTATATATGTGTATGTATGTTTGTATGTATGTATATATACATACACTGACAAAGATGCTATCCTTAACCAAACTCTAGACAGGCTCCTCTGAGCTCTTTTTTCAGCAGGCCTCATCCTTGGCATGTCCTCCAGAGCCCAGCTTTAGCAAGAATTCTGCTAAGTTGGTTTAGCCAGAATCACCCAGTCTTGATACATGGTCTAAGTCCTCACTCCCCACCATTCTCCAGGTGATTATCTGATCGCCTCAGCCTGCATTCAGCAAGAATCCTGTCACATCCCTATAATAGCCAGAAATCCTCCTTCACCGCGATACATACATATATATATATATAATGTTTTAATTTTACTTTAAGTTCCAGGATACAAGTGCAGAATATGTAGATTTGTTACATAGGAATACGTGTGCCATGGTGGTTTGCTGCACCTATCAACCCGTCATCTAGGTTTTAAGCCCCACATGCATTAGCTATTTGTCTTAATGCTCTCCCTCTCCTTGTCCCCCAACCCCCAGCTGGCCCTGGTGTTTGTTGTTTGTTGTTCACCTCCCTGTGTCCACGTGTTCTCATTGTTCAACTCCCAGTATGAGAACATGAAGTGTTTGGTTTTCCGTTCCTGTGTTACTTTACTGAGGATGATGGCTACCAGCTTCATCCATGTCCCTGCAAAGGACATGATCTCATTCCTTTTAATGGCTGCATAGTATTCCATGGTGTATACCACATTTTCCTTATCCAATCTATCATTGATGGGCATTTGGGTTGGTTCCTGTCTTTGCTATTGTAAATAGTGCTGCCAATAAACATACGTATGCATGTGTCTTTACAGTAGAATGACTTATATTCATTTGGGTATGTACCCAGTAATGGGACTGCTGGGTCAAATGATATTTCTGGTTCTAGATCCTTAAGGAATCACTACACTGTCTTCCACATTCATTGAACTAATTTACACTCCCACCAACAGTGTAAAAGTGTTCCTGTTTCTCCACAGCCTTGCCAGTATCTATTGTTTCTTGACTTTTTAATAATCACCATTCTGACTGGCATGAGATGATATCTCACTGTGGTTTCAATTTGCATTTCTTTAATAATCAGTGATGTTGAGCTTTTTTTCATATGTTCGTTAGCCGCATAAATGCCTTTTTTTGAGAAGAATCTGTTCATATCCTTTGTCCTCTTTTTGACGGGGGTCAAACAGTCTATCTTTAAATACCACCTTATTTCTTGAGTTTAAGAAGCCATTGGCTGGGCGTGGTAGCTCAGGCCAGGCGTGGTGGCTCACATCTGTAATCCCAGCATTTTGGGAGGTCAAGGCAGGTGGATCACCTGAGGTCAGGAATTTGAGACCAGTCTGGCTAACATGGTGAAACCCCATCTCTACTAAAATATTAAAAAATTAGGCCAGATGCGGTGGCTCACGCGTGTAATCTCTGCACTTTGGGAGGCCGAGGCAGGTGGATCACCTGAGGTCAGGAGTTCGAGACCAGCCTGGCCAACATGATGAAACCCTGTCTCTATTAAAATACAAAAAATTAGCTGGGTGTGGTGGTGCATGCCTATAATCCCAGCTACTCAGAAGGCTGAGGCAGGAGAATAGCTTGAACTCGGGAGGCAGAGGTTGCAGTGAGCCAAGATCACGCCACTGCACTACAGCCTGGGCAACAAGAGTAAAACTCCATCTCAAAAAAAAAAAAAAAAATTAGCCAGGCGTGGTGGCGTGCACCTGTAATCCCAGCTACTTGGGAGGCTGAGGCAGGAGTATCACTTGAACCCAGGAGGCGGAGGTTGCAATGAGTCGAGATTCTGCCATCGCACTCCAGCCTGGGCGACGAGAGTGAGACTCGGTCTCAAAAAAAAAAAAACAAAAAAAAATAAACAAAACAAAAGCCATTGATTACAATGTACTTTAAAAATTCATTCTACTTTGAGAAATATTGAACTGAAGATTAGAATGATGTTAATTTATGAATGTATTTTCTTATAGTATCCTTTGTTTGCAGCAATTTTGAATTTGATTTATAAATCAGATTTCAAAAGGTAAAACAAGCAACAAAAAATTCAACAGAAGCAAACAATGCATTATTGAAGACACTGAAAAGTCAGCTTAATAAATCCCTCTAAAAGTTGGTTTTGCTTTCCTGATTTTACATTAGTATGAACATTTTGGTTGTAGAATCATTACCACTCGACGGTCATCAGTTGGGTATTTTTTAACACAGTCTTGACTTAAAATTTGACCCCTGTTGTCTCATCAATTTGCTTTTATTTGAATATGATTATTTAAAAGGTTATTGCCAAATAAAAGTGCTTTAATTTGTTCTGATGGGTTTTAAGAAACTCAATCTGGTATTAAAGCTCCCAGAATTTTCATGGAAATATTGTATTGTCATGCAAATTAGATAAGCATATTAGACAAATATGAAACTATATTTTGAAATCCTGACAGCATACACAATAGCTAACACGTGTTTCATGGACAAAATGTTGAAAAGGTCAAAACTGAAGACAAAAGAACCTTACTATTAATTTTAATCTCTAAAGTTTGTTAACTTTATAAAGTAATAAAGTAGAATAAAAATAATTTCCTTTACAAGTGTAACTTTTGATTCTTTTAAGTTTTCTTGTTTTAAGTTTTTGTTACCTCAGTGGGAAAGCATAATATGAGAGATCAAAAAATACTATGACAATTCAACCATCGAATGTTGGTCCATATTTTCATGGTATGTGAAATAAGAGAGGATTAGAAAAGTCTAGCAAACACTGAAAAAAGCAACCTCAGTATAATACTAAAATCTTTCTGGAAAACAATGCTTAAACTTCCCCCTGCAATCAGAAATTAGTCTTCAACTTTCTCCAAGTGCCTGAGCCACAAACACTGCCAGCCATATTAAAATATCCAGCAATTACCAAGTAAAGGCTTTAGGAAACTACAGAAAAGACAAGTTTACACAACTTTGTAAAAATGGTAATATTTATGTCTATAATTCTTAACACAGGAGTTCAATTTAATAACCAGTAAGATTAAGGAAGAAAACAAACTTGGGAAAAACTGCAAGATTGAACAATTTGATACCATGATAAACACCACAAATGACCTTTTTTCAAATTAGATTATAGGTAAATGCTAACTCCAAAAGTATCCTTTATAATTCAAGAAAATCAAACAAATAGTTTTCTGAGATGATTAATAAATCTTTAGTTTTATACAGTAAAAGGATTATCTCAAAATTACATAAAATATTTCAAAATATTAATGAACTTAATGTTTTCTCCAACAGTTTTCACCTGTTTGTAAAATGGCCCACCATCAAAGATAATAGGCATTTAGTTTAGAGGATAGATGGTGACAGAGGGCAGAGCAAGGTGGTGGGATAGAAGCCTACACTACTCATCCCCCTGCCCCCACAGAAACACCAAATTTTAACAACTAACTACATACTAAAAGTACTGTTACAAGAGACAAAAAGCAGGTGAGCAATCACAGTGTCTGGTTTGGACTTCGTATCACTGAAAGAGACACTGAAGAGGATAGGAAAGGCAGTCTGGAATTGCCAGTGCTACCCCTCCCCCATCCTCCCTGCAGTGGCGGAGAGAATCTGTATGCTTGGGAGAGGGTGAGCACAGCGATTGTGAAGATTGGCATTGAACTCAGTGCTGCCCTGTCACAGTGGAAAGCAGAACCAGGCTGTAATCAGGTGATATATGACAACAAAGGGAACATTTGGGCCGGCCCTAGTCAGAGAGGAATTGCCCATCCCAGTGGTTGGAGACTGAGTTCCGGCAAGCCTCTCCACTGGGGGCTGTAGTGCTCTGGGACCCTGAGTGAAGAGGGGCAGTCTAGGCCACAAGGACTGCAATTCCTAGGCAAGTCCTAGTGCTGAGCTGGGATCAGAGACACCTGACTGCAACCTATGAGACACCAGCCAGGGCAGCTAAGGGAGTGCTTATGCCACCTCTCCCTTACCTCCTGGCAGCGGCCACCTGGTATGGAGAAATCTACGTGCTTGGGAAAGGGAGAGTACAGTGGCTAAGGTACTCTTCATTGAACTCAGTGCTGCCCTGTCACAGCAGAGACCTGGCAGATTTCATCACCTGCCTACTCAAGAGCCCCTGGGCCCTGAATAACCAATAACAATACCCAGGTAATAAATACACCACAGACACTGGGCTCTGAGACATGCTGGCTTTAGGCGTGACCCAGCACATTCCCTGCTGTGGTAACTATGGTGAAACACTGCTGCTTGAGAAAAGTAGGGGGAAAGGTAAAGGTGACTCTGTCTTGCAGCTTAGGTACCAGCTCAACCACAGTAGGGTAGACCACCAAGCAGGCTCTTGAGGTCCCTGAGTCCAGGCCTAGGCTCTGGCTTAGCACTTCTGGACCTGGCCTGGATCAGAGAAAAGCCCACTGCCCTGAAGGGTGAGTCCCAGGCCTGACAGCACTCATCACAAACTGACTGAAGAGTGGTTGTGCTTTAGGTGAACATTAGCAGTGGCCTGGCAACACCCCCACACCCCCACATAGGCCAGTGTTGGTGGCCACAGGGAGAGGTTCCTCTGTCTGTGGAAAGTGAAGAATGGGAAGAAT